AATATATATATATATATATATATATATATATATGGAAAAGCTCTAGGCTTTTTATAATCTAGTTTCTTACCATTTGGAATTCTTTAAATACCAATTTATTTCCATCCTGGATAGGAAGCAAATTGCAATTTTTGCTCAAGTATTATACAGAAGAACTGAAATAACTTTTTCTCTCATCCTCAACCTTCCATACTTCCAAGATTCCTACCCTTCTCATTGAATAAAAAGTTGTTTGGTCAGTACCTTGCTTATTTTATTTCATGATTGCAAGCCAATTCTCTGTAGCAGTACAGGATACTGTTTGCCTCTGAAGTATTTGTTCTGTCTATCTGATACTTCTATGTCTAGATAGGACATAATTCTCCAGGAGCATCCTTTCAAGGAGAGGAAGTTTTGCTCCTTCTTTTTCTGTGGCTGGTTATTTTTGCTTTGATTTTCCAATTGATCACACTCAACCTCTAGTTTGAATTACTAATGTAGAATTTTATAATGCAGTCCTATAACATGTCCACATCATATCATTAAATATCAAAGTCAGAATCATCCAGGGCAAAGTATCTCTGTTTTCTATGTATCATTGTGAAAGCTAGACAGTGAAGAAAGCTGAAAGGAAGAAAACCAGCTCACTTGTGCTTGAGAAAATTTCTGCAGATGCCATGGACTATTGAAAAGACAAATGAATGAGTCTTAAGAGCAAATTAAGCCTGAATTCTCACTAGAAGCAAAAAATAACTAAACTGAAGGTGTTATACTTTGACAATATCATGAGATAATGTGGCTTACTGAAAAAGACAATAAAGCTTGGTAAAGTGGAAGGCAATAGGAAAAAAGGAAGGCTGCATTACAGGTGAATAGATTCAGTCAAGGAAGCCATGGTGGCCCTGGTTTTGCTAAGGATTTCAATAAGACCAAGATTGCAAAAAAAAAAAAAATGACGCTAAATGTGCTTAACCTTAAACTGCACAAATGAATGCCCATTCACTCACTCTGGGTGGTATAGCCAAGCAAAGCCCTTAATTCATCTCTTGTACATCTTTAAGAGAGGGGTGTGATAACCTGTCTCTCTTGGTTTCATTAGATCCACCACCACCCCCGGATTCGGCCAATATTTCCTTTCCATTCTTGTTTCACATCAAGTTGTTAGATATTGTACTCTCTTCCTACACTGAAATTCATGCAGTTTTTAAACACATTTCCTCTGATTTTCTCATTTATTTTTATTTTTTAAAATGGTGTTTCTCCATTTTTTTTTAAAGTATGCATAATTCAGATGTTCACATTTGAGAATATACACATTCTTTTGCATGTACTTGATTTCATATACACACACTCACAGGAATAACTTGATGGGATTTATTTCTTAGTAGACACATACAGGTTTACCTTGCTAACTAATTAGAACTCAATGGCTGGCAATTAACATTGACTCCACTCAATATTTTTGTATTTCAGATAGTTTGAAGTGATATGAAAATTCTCTCTGTGGCACTAAGGGGCTGAACAGACTGCCAGAAATTATCCAACTTGAGACACTTTAACTGCCCTGGCTCAGTGCTAGGAAATCATGGGAACTGTAGTTTATTATGGCACCAGATCTCTTGACAGAGAAGGCTTAGGGCCTAAGCAGACGGGCGGCCATGGGCCGCCCTGGGAAAGGGCGCTCCGGGACTGAGGCATCCCCATGCCTTGATCCAGCGGCGCACCGTCAGCGCCCCTAGAAAGGAGCGCTAAAATAGCACTCCTTTCATATGTCGCCGAAAGTGCACTGTAAAACGTTGCAGCGCATTTTCGGCTCCCCTTCCGCCGCAGCGTGTCGAGACGCTGCGGCAGGAGGTCGTCCTCAGAGCGCCGGCCATGCGGAGGGCCGGTGGCTCCAAGGAAGACCTTGGGAGGGGAAGGGGGCACTGAGCATGCAGCTGCCCCTCCCCTTCCCTGAGCCGAGGATGGCTTTTTAAGCCGTCTGCCGAGGCCCTTAATGTCTCAGAAAAAACCACAATTCCCTAGCATTGAGTCAGTTCAGGCCCTGAGTCTGTTTTGGATCACCTACACATGCAAGTGAGCAAAGGTGTTGCAGTCCTCATGTGATGATCAACTATGCATGAAGGAACTACCCCCTCACTTGGAATTAGACAAAATTCAGCTAAGAAGTATTTAAACTTGAAATTAGGATTTATTTCCATTCTTTGTTGCTGCCAATTCCCATTAAGTCAGCTTCAATTTATGGTAACCATATGAATGAGAGACTTCCAAGACACCCTGTTATTAACATCCCTACTATAGTCTTGCAAATTCAGGCTTCCTTGATTGACTCCTATTATATGTTTTTGCAGCTTGGGGCTTTCCTTCACATCTGACCATACTAGCAGCTGAAGGTCCTTTCAGCTTGAGTCTGTTTTCATCATTAGACACAGTGCTATTCAACTTTCCCCAAAAGCTGTTTGAGTGACTTCTAACTTAGGAAGCTCAGTTTGTTGCACCATCTCTTGCTTCATTTTGGATTGTTGCATCATAGGGTTTTTAGGGTAAGAAGAATTCAGAAGTGGTTTACCATTGCCGCCTGCTGCACAGTACTACAAGCATAAGCTATGGTGCCACTGCCAATGTCTCTGAGAGATCCTCCACCAATGTCACCCTTACTACTGCTTCTGAGCAGTAGCTGCTTGGCACTTTTAGTCTAGCTTCTCACAAAAGTCTGTCTGATATGGGAGACCCTACCAGCAACCTTGCTACCATAAACATAGCCTCTTATTTCACAGGAACATGCAGTCCCACACCATATAAAGGTAATGCCACAATGGACAAATTCATTCTATTCACCATTTGTATACATTAAATACCTTTGTGAATATTTTTCAGTTGCATACTTTTAATACATTTTTATAAGCATTTTATTCTTTTTTTCACCTTTTGTGATTCTGTGGGAGCATTCCTCCCTCCTTCCCTCTCTGTATCTTGGTTCAGATTATAATTTAAGATTTAAACATGCTGACATCTTCAAAATGTGGTACAAGAGCTATATTTAAAATGATAGAAGATATGCAGGTCTTTTATTTTAAAAAGTGAACTTCAGTACTTTCATAGGTTAAAAAAAGCAGCCTTTTTATTTTATTTTATTTTTATTTAACCACAGAAAGGTAATGTCATGGTGGGCATTTCAATTCTAACTGTTAAATATTTCTATAGAGTAGGAAATGGTTGCGTTCTGAGCAAAGGACTAATATGGCCATTGAACAACCTCCCTAGTCTGATCAACTCACATTTTCAAGTACAAAGCTGTCCTACACCCTTGAACCTCTTCTGTATCCTTGATTCTTCCATGGTTATGGAGTATATGATAGAAGGCCCTGTCTCATTGTGAGTGTTCCAAGAGGATTCAACAACAAGTCTAGTTGGTTTTCATAAATTTAAATGGAGGTGAGAAGTCATACTTGGGGCTACCTTACTCCTTCATTTGATCCTCCTTTTGCTACACCAGTCACCCAGCACCTGCTGATGCCATTCATCTCTCCCCTCAATGCAATTCAATAACTATTAATCTGTCAATGCATATTATACCTCTCATCAATATATATTCTGCCTATGACCTTCACTTCTCTTTGAATACTTTTGTCTCAGGGTTCATGGGCATTTCCTGGATCTTATGTACAAATGTCTCATTGACACAAAGCAAAGGCAGAACAGTAGAATCCAATCCGTGGGAAGGAAAAACCAAAAAATACTGTCCTTCATCCTCAATAGCTTCTTCACATGGAAGAGTGTCTTCTGCAGACCCTGACTATGCTTGGCTGTGGGATTCTGGGGGTTGCAGTTCAAAAAAGTGATTTTTCCAGGGTTTGTACATCTGAACCCAAACCTAATGGCTGGCAAGAATAGGCTGTCACTCATTTTTGCTATGATGTTGTTATCTGGGGTAACAAAAATACACAATCTTAAATAAAAATTATAATAATCTCATCAAAACTTCTAAGGGAGGAAGGGTACATTTTCAGGGGTAGGGGAACAGCAAGCCATATTGATTACTATTAATTAAAGAGTGTTCCAGATCAACTCATTGGTTTCTTATTTACTTGAAGATTTTTATCAGTGATTACTGATGCATTGATTGAGTTCAGAGAAGATTTAATTCATTCCAGGTATAATTACTCCTGTGCTACTACAGCAACAGAAGGCCAATTTACTCCAAACAGATTTGCAATGTGGCAAGACACAACAAGAGCTGTTTCTTTTCTTTTCTTTAAAAAAACACCTCATCAATTTGTTTGCTCTCTGTGAGATTGAGTTTATGTGTTCTCTGTAGAAATAACACTGAGAAGATTCATCAGTGATGGAAATGAGAATGGACAAGAAAGGGGAGACCAGTCTGCAACATTACTGTGGTCCCTCAAGATTAGTAACCAAGTTGTTTTTATAAACAGTGATCTGATATTTAAGGCATGAAGGGAAATTGTGAAACTTTCAAGATGTCCCACATTCACAGCAGCCAATGGAACCAGACACATTACTAAAACATATTTTGCTAGGCTTAAAAATAAGACAAATTTGTACTAATTTGTATTGTCAGTACTTTTTCAGACATCATGCAAAGAAGGTATCCAGTAATTCTTTTTTTTTTTCCCCAGGCTATGCAATGGCAGCTGGACAGCTCAAAGAGGCACTGCCACTGCCAAACAGTGGTGGTTATGGACATACACCCTAATGCCTTCCAGCTGTGTTCACACTGTTGGGCAGAAGGAACAGTCTTCACCATCACAGACCTCCAGTATAGGGTCTTAACCACTGGTTCTAGGTCATGAGGCCATAATTATGAGTCTAGAGTTCTGGTTCCATGTTCCTGTTGTTGCCATTGTGTGCCTTCAAGTTGTTTCTGACTTATGGCAGCTTTAAGATGAACCTACATGGGGTTCTCTTAGCAAGATTCGTTCAGATGGGATTTGCTTTTGGTTGCCTCTGTGGCTGACAGAACATGATTTAACCAAGTGGGTTCACCCAATGGGTTTCCATAGCCGAGTAGGGATTTGAACCCTGGTCTCCAGAGTCATAGCCCAGTGTCCAGACCACTAAACCACATGGGCATAAATACATACATTGATACAAAGAATATGAAAGACTCATACACTTAAAACTTGAACTTTTCTCCCTGGGACTAATGCTCACTTTGAAAGGAACCATGATAGACTATTTCTATACCTGATCACAGTGGCAAGATTACTGTATGCTTATAACTGGAAATATATTTTCTACTAGAGAAGGACGGTTGGCTAAAATGAATGAATTAGCATAGATGGATAAGGGAAAAGTCTTTGGTATCTATTTTGAAAAACTGGAGATCCTTAACTGACTTTTTGAGAAACAATGAAAATAATAAGCCAGAGTTCTCTGGCTAAGAATTTTGATTATTAGTTTTAGTTAAAATTATAGATGAACATAAGCTCTTAAGTACTCAGGAGAGAGATCATTGCCATCTAATTGCAAAAAAAGATAGTTGGCAGTCATATATTTTTGTAATATAGTTGTAATTTAGTTATTAGTGTGGGTATTGATCTGCTTTTATGTTTGTTTAATACATGTGCTTTTGTGTGATGTATGTAATCTTTTAAGCAAATGTAAAATTTCAATTAAAATATTTTTTTTAAAAAAAACAGTACACTGTGCAGGCTCTCAGGTGGGAAAGTACACAAAAGCCAGGGGCCCTTTCACACTACACAATTTTAGCACTATGATTCCACTTTAACTGCCAGGGTTACATTCAATGGAATCTTGGAGCATGTAGTTTGCTGAGGCACTAGAGTTCTTTGGCTAAGAATTCTAATTCCCTCTCCCTAAACTGCAAATCCCAGGATTCCATAGGATGGAACCAGGGCAGTTAAACTAGAATCATAGGCTGACCATATATCCTTGAGACGATAATGGGACATTGGGATGGCAAAACCTGGATGGAATTATGTATGTATTCCATATTCATGAAAAAGTAAGAGGGGAACTAAAGTTTTATTACATGAGCATATTGAGCTAACAATTATTCTTCTGTGACAGAATTCATACAAAAATGTAGACAGACATAGAGCGGGGCTGTATTTCACCATGATCATCCCATGAATATTTCTTTGATGAAGTAATCTTATGCAGCAAATTTTGGTCTTTCAACGCTTTATCATAAAACATATCACACTCCATGACACATTTTCTTTTTTACAACCACAATTTCAAACAAGGATCTTCAAACCATTTTTGCAACATAACAGCACATTTTTCTTGAAAATGGGTCAAAATTGACATTTATATTAAAATGACGTGACAATCTGGAAATGTGAGGAAATGGTTCTGTTCCATTTAAAACAGTATGTATGATCAGCCTAATCATAGTGCTAAAACTGAGTAGTATGAATAGGACCTATGAAACAACCACAGACCATGAGGAAGGAAGCATGGTCATCTGTTGAGCCCAAGAGCCAGATGGGTAGTGGAAGGGGCAAAACCAGACCCAGGGCCTGCATATTTCATCCCTCCTATGCACAAAAACCACAAAATAAGTGAGCAAATCTGGAAATATTTGGGGCAGAACTTGTATGCACCACCTACATACACTCTCCTTCCCCATTTTAAGTCCTTAGAGAAGCAGACTATTAGAAAAGACTCCAAAGCTGTTCTCAACCTTTCATGTGGTATATTGTACACACAGGCATCTGTGAATCAAGAATCGTATGGATTAGTCAACCCTATAGCTATGAGTAGATATAAGGGAAAGCTTCTTAAAATACCAGTATATAATTTTGCTTTTCTGGAACAAGTGTCTCTATGTAATCCTTACATAAACATCCCATGTTACTGAGGGCATCTTTTCCTACCCCTTCCATAAAAGACTGGGGGAGACCCAGGGTGGTTAAGATTGACTGGAACTGTAATTGAAAACATCTGGATGGGAGTTGACTGGAAAAGTTTGCTTTAGAATGTGTGGTTTCTGTCTCAGTTCTGATCATTCTAAGCGGGATGCACTTTACTTCTCAACAGCTGCCAAGAACATTGCTCAGGAGAGTAAGCTTTTGGACTACAATTTCCAGGATCTCCCAGTGCTCTCACTGGCTGGGAGATTATGATAGCTGTGGTCAAAAATACAATGCTTCCATGTTCAACTCATTACTGCTGAGTATTGAAATGAGATCACCTCCTAGGAAGAGAGAGAAACATCCCTTGGGGTAGAGAAACTGCTTTGAATGCAGATGTGCCCTATTTCATTCATTGACATCCCCATTGACAGGTAACATAACAGGGAAATGAAGCCCCTTCCTGAAATATAAGCATTCTGCTTCCTATCAATATTTTCTTTTTTAATCTGTGAAGTATTATTCCTTTAAAAATTAATTCAGCATTGAAGACATACATGGCTCTATATTGTTCTTTATATTAGGTGTACAGGTATACCTTAGTGAACAGAGCAGATATGTTCCTGGGCTGTACTTCTTCAACAAAAAAAATGGTACCAGAGGCAGAAATAACATGGAAAGAATAAAAGTTTCCTACATCACTCAAAGGAAGAACAGTTCAAAGTGTTTCAGCAAATGTTTTATTCAAAACTAACAATAGGCACATATGAAATGAAACTGCCAGGGCAGGTAGGCCTTACAAAAAAATATTGTGAATCTTCTAAACACCAGATGAAAGCTTCTTCCAAAACCCATCCATGGATTATTATTATTACTCTTTCTTCTTCCTACACTTTTCTTATGATTTCCATTTTGATGACCAAACTCCATGAAGCTGCCGGGGGGGGGGGGGGAGCTTGTAAGGCAGACCTATCTGCTTTCCACTTTTCTCTCTGTTTTGATGCTCATGAATGCTCAGCAAAGGATTTCTAGAGGCAGTTGGTGTTTATGTTGCCTGTTGTAGGCAAGCACATACAGCTATTGTAGGATCAGATAGAATAGGATCCTCATTCTTCCCCAATTCAAGCTTTCATCCTTTCTTTGCTGCTGACATGCTGCTGAAACCTGACATAGAAAGTCTGTGTCCTCCAGCACTCTTTCACCACCCACACAATACCAATGCCACTTTTAAAAAACCCTTCCAGCTTGTAGTGGTCCCCAACCTTTGGTCCTCCATTTGTTTTGGATTTCACAGAAGCACCAGCCAATTCAGCCAACAGTCAAGAATTATGGGAGCTGAAGTCCAAATCATCTGGAGGGCCAAAGGTTGGGAACCACTGAAAGGACAAGGAAGAAAGAAGGGCTCGGAAAGCCTAAAAATACTTTGTAAAAAGGAGCTTCTTAATCTTAACCAAAGGCTTTGTTAAGTGAGATATGCCTGTGTTTCATATGTTTATATAGTTAATGCATTCCAATGCATTCTGGTTTAATTTGGGTTTTGTACCTTATCATTTCTAAAGTTTTATTATATTATAGTATTATAAAATTACCTGCAGAAAACTATCTGATGACAGCCTGGAAGTGAACATTCTTTTTGGTGGCTTCCAGTCTTTGGAAGGCTTTTCCAGCTCTGGTTTTTGGAAGGCACTAATTGCAATTCTGTGTCATTAACTCATTTGTGGCAACCCTAAGGCAACCCTATTATGGATTTTCTTGGCAAGATTTGTTCAGACTTGTTTGCCACGGCCTTCCTCTGAGGCTGAGAGAGTGTGACTTGCTCACAGTCATCCAGTGAATTTCCACAACCAAGTGGAGATTTGAATCCTGATCTCCAGAGTCATAGTGCAATGCTCAAATCTTATGCACTATTTCTCAAGGTCCATATCTTGGTCTTGGTCTTCCTAAACTGACAGTGAAATGTAATGTGCATTTTGAGCACTTGGTTTTACATGTTTCAGTTGTTTAAATTTCTAATATGTTATTTGGTTGTTTTTTTCCAAAAAATATCAAAATATTATTAAAGGCTTTTAAAAACATTTTCAATTTTTATTTGCAGTGCACAGCAAGTTACAGATTAGATTACAAAATGGTATAGAAAGTGATTAATAGTAGCAAATTATGATGACGATGTTGTATTGAGAGACACCTTGGGTCCCATGCTGGTAAAAAGGTGGGATGTAAATAAATTCAGGAGGAAAATCATTTATTAAACAGCACTATGGCTTCTAGAATTCCCCTAGCCAAGATTGCCTATGGGGATTTCAAGAAACTAAACTCCAGCAAAGTAATTTTTCTGAGCTCTGGCATTACTATCAGCACAATATGGCATTGTCACCATATTTCAGGCTCCATCTGCACTACAGGATTAATGCAATTTGACAAACTTTAACTGCCATGGCTCAATGCTATGGAATCTTGGGATTTGTAGCTTGTTGTGGCATCAGAACTCTCTGACAGAGAAGTTTAAATATCTCACAAATCTACAAATCCCAGAATTCCATTGGATGGATCCATGACAGTGAAAGCAGTATCAAGCTGTATTAATTCTGTAGTGTGGCAGCAGGCCCAGTACTGCCAAATAATAACAGAGGCACAGTGAATCTGGCTAGCTGAGTTTTTCAGTTTCCTGCCCACCTCCATGCAAGTGTATCCAGGCCCTCAAGGTCACAGTTGTACACAATTCACATGAAAATTTCATATCCTACAGTCAAATTTTAATAATCCGGTTACATTTACCTCGTAAATATTTTTTTAAAACAATAATAGCAGTGCCCTAACTAATTTTGTAATTCAAATATCCATAGGTTTCTTTTCTTGATTTCATTAGTTAACATTTCTCTTCATTTCCTTTTTGCTTTGTTATCTACATTTTCTGCTGCTGGAGACGAGTATATTGCCTGTGCTGCAGTAATCTTCCTTAATTGATTTGGGATGTATGCCAGTCGCTTCTGGTATTTGGGGCCGGTATCTTTATGTGACTGGCTTTCATCCAACAGGCTGTCATCCTTTTAGTTCACTTTATCCCTTTTGCTCTTTTGGTACTGGGATATTAGGCATTCTTAGCCTTTGAATTCTGCTCTTTCATCCCACACACCTCTATCATAATCAGGGATGGGGGGGGGGGGAGAAATGCTGTAGAAAAAAATGGCAAGTATTTTATAATATGCAAGTACCCAATTTTCTGATTACTTATCTTTCATTTGTCAGTAAAT